ATTTCCTCGAATTATCTGGGAATGAAAATTCTGTTCGTTTTATTTGATTATTTTCCAAAATTCTAGTTTTAATAGTGTTGAGGATTTTGCCTTTTTGAAATACCTCCTCCAGCTGGTGAAGGTTAGATCAATAACGAAGAGCATGTCATCTCCGGGCATGATTGATTTCCAGAGACGTCGCAAAAATCTTATTGCTTCTGCCGATTACCTTTTTGGTTGCTGGGTGTGGGAATTCATGATTTCTTGATATGTATGAGAAAGCTGTGTTTTGTTTCGAAGCACACACATATACCTTGACCCTAGTTGGCGCAGTACTGATGATTAAAGCTAAACAATGTTCAGATGCACTGCACTGATTGGACGCTGCCTGCAACAGACACAGCTGGCCATGGAGCGGCCTATGGAGTTCGACATGCCTGACAAAGATTTCCTCATCGTCGCGCTTGACCTCCTCTCCGGACTCGCCGAAGGATTGGCCGAACACATCGATGCGCTTGTGGGACCGAGCCAAATCATTGCCCTCGTCTATCAGTGCTCAGTTGTGAGATTTTGCACTCTTTCTACTTTCTAATCATTACTTATGCTTATGGTACTCTTCAAAACGCAAAATATTTAATTCTTTGATTAAAATTTCTGCATACGGCTCTGCTTTAACTGCAGTGACCATCAGTAGTTTTTTTTTTCTTTTCAAGTCACAGCCTTATATTTTACTGTGTGTGAGACTCGAAATGGCTAATTGATGGTATCTTGTGAACACCTACTCGCGGGGTGGTTTTTTTTCTCTTGCCGAGAATTTTTGTCAAGCCATGCGCAGAAGACTTGATTTAGATTGAGCGTACAAAAACAGATTCCAAGAAATCAAGCTTAATAAATTGACACCTTTTTTATGCTTTTTCGCATCCATGCAATGCAGAAAACGCATATTGACGAGAGGTTATCTGTGTCTGTGTGTTCGTCTGTACCGATTTTTCATCTCGAGGCCTATAAAAGCTGTAGGGCTGAAACTTTGGGAACCTAATCTTCATGCCTGTACGGGCCCCATCTCCAAAGTGGGCACTCCTACTCACGTGATACCCACGTATGAGTCCGCCAAAGTTTTTTTCAGGTAAGTTTCTAACTTGGAAATTTGAAAAGCCAGAAGACTGGGATTTTAAGGAAATGTTCCACCTTCAGATAGGTATTAACGAGTTCAAATCCAGCCGCCGGGATGCGAAATTCCCACTTACGGGTCCGTGAAAGTTTTTTTTTCCGGGTAAGTTGCTAGCTCGGAAACTAGAAAGCTGAAATTTTAAAGGGATATTTTCAGACTGCCCTCGTGGCCAGTCTCAATTGCCTTAGCAAAAAACTGTGGAAAAATCGTACCAGTAACGACAAAAACTGCAAGGAACTATGCAAAAAACGCATCTTCGCGCCGGCAGTCGGTGCGCTGGCTATTCATTTATTATGCGTTTTTGCTGTGCAGCGCTATGGCGCTGCTACAGCCAGCAAAAACGCATATTGTCGAGA